GAGAAGGAGTGAGGGATAGAAGTAGGGGAGAGAGGAAGCAAGGAGAAAGAGAAGGGAGGTGTTAAAGGTGGGGAGGGAGGAAGCAGGGTGTTAGGGAAGGCGGGAAGGAGGGAGGAAGGGAGGGAAGGAGGAGGGATAGAAGCAGGGGAGAGAGAGGAAGCAAGGAGAAAGAGAAGGGAGGGAGGAAGCAGGGAGGTAGGGAAGGATGGAAGGACGAAAATAGGGAAGGAGGGAGAGAGGCAGAGGAGGCCAAGATAGACAGAAGCAGAGGAGGGGAAAATAGGAATAACAGAAACAGGGAAGAAGGGAAGGAAGAGATCTGGGAAGTACGTAAGTACAAGAAGAAAAGCATAGAAGGTAAAAAAAAGAGAGAGAAAAAAAAGATAAATAAATAAATCATGGAAGCAAGGAAGGGGAGAGGAATGGAAGCAAGAAAACAGAAGGAGGGGAGCAAAGAAGGGAAGGAGCGAAGCAGGGAAGGATGAGAGCAAGGAAGCGGAAGAGGGTTGAGGTGAGGAAGAAGGAACGAGCGACTGGAAGAAAGGAAGAGAGAGAGCACAAAAGGGTTCGGAAGGGTAGATGTGCGGGCGTGTGGGCGTGAGGGCGTGTGGGCGTGTGAGCGTGTGGGCGTGAATGTGATGTAAGACTGAAGAGGGAAAACGGAAGAGAGGAGGCTGGTTCGGAAACATACTCAAAGAAACGCTGTAAAAATAGAATAATAGAGAAGACAGGAAGAGAAAAGAGAAAACACACACACACAACACACACACACACACACACACACACACACACACAAATGCACAAGCACAAACCCACGTACACACACGCACAGACACATTGGCACAAGCACAAGCACAAGCACACACACACGCACACAAGCACAAACACACACACGCACACACACACTCGCACAAGCACGCACACACACACACACACAGACAAGCACACACACACGCATACACAAACGCACGCACACACACGCACACACACACACACACACACACACACACACACAAACACACACACACACACACACTCGCACAAACACTCGCACACACCCAAACACACAACACCACCACAACGCGCAACACACACACTCACTTACACACACACTCGCACAAACACTCGTACAAGCACAAACACACAGACACACACAAACATACATACAACACACACACACACACACACACACACCACACACACACACCCACACACACACACTCACACACACACACACACACACACACACACACACACTCGCACACACACACAACACACACAAAACACAGCAAGCACTGTACACAACCCTTCCAGACGGAGAACCACACAACGCCGATGTAGATCTGCCTTCAACATATAGCTCAATCAGCGCCTGTCTTAATCCGCTTATTCATCAATAATTAATATGTTAAATAAGGTGTCTTACAGCACCCCCCTGCCCCAACCCCCTACCTCTCACCCCCCCTCCCCCAACCCCTACCCTCACCCCCCCCCCCCCCCCCCCCTACACTGGGGGCCCTGGGATACCATAGCCAGCCAACGAGGAGGAGTGACTCTGCCTTATAAAATGCGCGCCAAAATCTGCTGAAAAAACTGGTTTGCGAGTGGAGGCTTGGCCAGCTCTCCCCCCCCCCTCCCCCACTCCCACCCCCAATCCTCCTCCCCCCCCTTCCCTCTATTCTCCTCTCCCTCTCCCTCACCCCCTCCCCCCTCCGACCCCTTTCTCTGTCTGGCTTGACCCTATCCCTCCCTTCCCCCCTTCTCCCCACTCCTCCTTCCTATCCCCCGCCAGATACCCACTCCACGCTTCCCTCCTCCTTCTCCTCTAGCCTCTTCTTCTTCTTTTCCCCATCCCCATCCTCCTTTTCCTCCCTTTTCTTTTTCTTTTCTTTCTTTTCCTTCTCCCTATTATCTCCATCTAAATCTCCACCTCCTCCTCCTCCTCGTCTTCTTTTTCTTTTTTTCTCCCTCTTCTTCTTCCTCTTTTCCTCCCTCTTCTTCCTCTTTTTCTCCCTCTCTTCTTCTCTTCTCTTCTCCCCTTCTTCTTCCTCTTTTCTCCCCTACTTCTTCTTCTTCTCCCCTCTACTTCTTCTTCTTCTTCTCCCTCTACTTCTTCTTCTTCTCCCTTTCCCCATCCATCTTTCCTTCTCCTTCCTTTTTTTCTTTTCTTTCTTTCCTTTTCCCCTATTATCTCCTCTCCATCTAAATCTCCACCTCCTCCTCCTCCGTTTTCTTTTTCTTTTTTTTCTCTCTTCATCTTCTTTCCTCCCTCTACTTTTCATCATCTTCTTTCCCCCTTACTTCTTCTTCTTCTTCTTCTTCCCCTCTACTTCTTCTTCTTCTCTTCCTCTTTTTCTCCCTATACTTCTTCTTCTTCTTTTCCCTCTTCTTGTTCTTCCTCCTCCTCCTTCACCTCCTTTTTCAAAAGTTCTCCGGCCATAATAACCAAGAAAATATCACCCTAATTATTATTCACAATCATTCATTATTTAATCAAAAGACATCAGTGACGATGACTCCGACCTTGTCCTCGACGCAGTGAGGGAAATCGTAATGAGGGAAATACTGTGTGAAGCAAGGGAGGAGGGAGAAGGAGGAAAGAGAGGAGAGGGAGGGTAGAGAAGAGGAGGAAGGAGAAAGAGGAGGGAGAAGGGGAAAGGAAAGAGCAAAATGAAGAGAGGGTAAGAGAATGAAGGGATAAGGGAGAGAAGAGAGAAATGAGAGGGAGGAGAGAAGGGAGGAAGGAAGGAGAAAGAGGAGGAGAAAGGGAGAGGAAAGAGAGAAATGAGAGGGATAGTTAAGAGAGCAAGGAAGGAGAAAGAGGAGAAGAAGGAGATTAAAGAGAGAAATGAGAGGGAGGCAAGAGAAGGGGAGGAAGGAAGAGGAGGGAGAAATGAGGTGCGTGTGTTGTGTGGTGTGTGTGTGTGTGTGTGTGTGTGTGTGTGTGTGTGTGTGTGTGTGGTTGTGTGTGTGTGTGTTGTGTGTGTGTGAGAGAGAAGGAGAGAGAGAGAGAGAGAGAGAGAGAGAGAGAGAGAGAGAGAGAGAGAAAGAGAGAGAGAGAGAGAGAGAGAGAGAGAGAGAAGGGGAAGAAGAAAATGAGGAATGAGGCATGTGAGGAAGGAGAAAAACAAAGGGAAGAAGGAGAGAGCGAGAAGTGTGATGTAAAGGGGAGACGGGGTCGCAGACGGTAAGCTAATCTGCGGTCACTTACGATGGCCCGACAACCCCCCCCCACCCACCCACCCCCCCTATCCCTCCCCTCCCTCTATCATATCACCCCGTCCCTTCTTCTTCACTCGCGAAGACCTTTCTATTCTCTAATCTTGTGCTTCATCTCTCTCTCTCTCTCTCTCTCTCTCTCTCACACACACACACACAAATATACACACACTCACGCACACACTCACTCACACTCAGCACACACACCTCACTCACAATCACGCACACACACCCTCACTCACAAACACGCACACACCCTCACTCACAAACACGCACACACCCTCACTCACAATCACGCACCACACACCTCACTCACAATCAGCACACACCTCACTCACAATCACGCACACACCTCACTCACACGCACACACCCTCACTCACACTCACGCACACACCCTCACTCACAATCACGCACACACCCTCACTCACAATCACGCACACACCCTCACTCACAATCACGCACACACCCTCACTCACATCACGCACACACCCTCACTCACACTCACGCACACACCTCACTACACAATCACACACACCTCACTCACAATCACACACACACCCTCACTCACAATCACGCACACACACCTCACTCACAATCACGCACACACCCCTCACTCACAATCCACACACACACTCACGTCACTCACAATTCACTCACATCACCGCACACACCCTCACTCACAATCACATCACTCACACACGCACTCACACAATCACACTCACTCACAATCACGACACACCCTCACTCACAATCACACACACCTTATTTTTTCCTATCTCATTCTACCGTATGTCATCTCTCACTGTATTTATCCCTCTACAACCCTCATCACTCGCAGGGTCTCATCTCACCACACTTCCCTCCAGTCACCAAACTCACCCACTCTCGCTCAGTCATTCATTCCTCCTTATTCATCCTGGTCTGGTCTTCTCTAGTTCTTTTTTTCTGTCTCTGTCTGTCTGTCTGTCTGTTTGTCTCTGTCTGTCTATTCTATCTCTTTCTCTGTTTCTGTCTGTCTCTACTCTCTCTCTCTCTTTTCATCCTCAAAAATACTATCAAAATGTAAAAAGATATCCGTTAGTATTTTTTTTCCATTGCAATTATAAAAATATATAATATATATATATTTCTGCACTGCACTGCACTGGTATTTAAAGAAATAAAAGATTGCGTGTATGTGTGTTTGTGCTTCTCTGTTCACTGAAATGTTTTTTGGGTGTAGAACATAAATCTATGTTCTTCCTCGCTTTCCTTTGTTCTTCCTCGGTGAGATACAATGAAGATCACCTAAACCACCTAGATTCACCTAAAACCCACCTAATTCACCTAAACTAAAATTCACAAACCTAGATTCACCTAAACCACCTTCACCTAACCCACCTATATTCACCTAAACCACCTAGATTCACCTAAACACACTAGTTCCTAAACCTACCTAGATTCACCTAAACCCACCTAAATTCACAAACCTACCTAGATTAGACTTAACAAGAATCGCCAAGACCCAATTAGAATCACTCATAAACATCTAGAGTCATCTAGACCCCCTTATACTCCTAGAATCGCCTAGGCTTACTTAGACTCACCACTTATAATCATCTTGACACACCAAGAGCCACCTGGACTCGCCTAGACACACCTAATCTTACTTATGACCATCTAGACTCGCTTAGCGCCAACTAGACTCTGACAGACCATTTAGGATCACTTTCAATCATCCAGACACGCCTTGACCTACTTAGAATCACTTAGAATCATTTAGACACGTCTAGCTCCACCTATGACCCTCCTAGATTCACCTAGTCTCACTTATAAGCATATAGACTTGCTTAACGCCTCCTAGACACGCCTAGACCCACTTAGAATCACTTACAAGCATCTACACACACACCTAGCGCCACCTACACTCGTCTCGAATCCCCTAGAATCCCTTATAAGTATCTAAAAACACCTAGCGCCACCTACACTCGTCTCGACTCCCCTAGAATCCCTTATAAGTATCTAGAAACACCTAGCGCCACCTACACTTGTCTCGACTCCCCTAGAATCCCTTATAAGTATCTAGATACACTTAGCACCACCTGGACTCACCTAGACTCCACTAGAATCACTTATAAGTATCTAGAAACACCTAGCGCCGCCTACACTTGTCTCGACTCTCCTAGAATCCCTTATAAGTATCTAGATACACTTAGCACCACCTGGACTCACCTAGACTCCACTAGAAATCACTTATAAGTATCTAGAAACACCTAGCGCCACCTACACTTGTCTCGACTCTCCTAGAATCCCTTATAAGTATCTAGATACACTTAGCACCACCTGGACTCACCTAGACTCCACTAGAATCACTTATAAGTATCTAGAAACACCTAGCGCCACCTACACTTGTCTCGACTCTCCTAGAATCCCTTATAAGTATCTAGATACACTTAGCACCACCTGGACTCACCTAGACTCCACTAGAATCACTTATAGTATCTTAGAAACACCTAGCGCCACCTACACTTGTCTCGACTCCCTAGAATCCTTATCAGTATCTAGATACACTTAGCACCACCTGGACTCACCTAGACTCCACTAGAATCACTTATAAGTATCTAGAAACACCTAGCGCCACCTGGACTCACCTAGACTCACCTAGACTCATCCAAGTCCTCAGTTCATAAGAATCTCACTTGCAACCCCTACGAGATCTAAAATTGGCTCTCACATGCCTCTGGCAACTCAGGAGACAAGAAATCCTCAATTCTATTATCGAAAAAGAAAATAAATGATGGGAATGGAACACGAAAGAAAAGAAGAGGAAGAGAGAGAGAGAGAAAAAAAATGCGATTGACCGACCCTTCTACTGACCCTTGCCTGGAGGACCTTCTGGAGCCTCCTTCAAGATGGCGGTCTCCTTCTCGCTCTCTTTCTTCCTTCTTGGGTGTGTCCTTTCTCTGATTTTCCCCCATTTCTCTCCTTCCATTCCTTGCATCTGTTCTCTTTCTTCCTTATCCTTTATCTTTGTGTTTTTTCTTCTTCTACTTTCCTTTTACATCCTTTTTTCGCTGATGATTGCTACCTCTCCTTCAATTCAATTTACCATCTAGTCCCTCCTTGCCTTTTCCCCACTAATTCCCTCCTTCTACCCCTTTATCCCCTACTCCTACGTCCTCCTTCCGCTTCATTTATTACCTATTTCCATCTATTCCTTCACTTATCACATATTCCATCTTCTTCACTTATCCACTTTCCAACTTCTTCTCTTTCATTTACCAGCTACTTTCACCTTTTCCTTCTCCTTCATATACTCCCTGACATTTACTCCACTTTTGACTCCCGTATTCCTTAGCACTCCATATTCCCCATCCGTGCACCCTACCCCCCCCCCCTTCCTTCTCTTACACCGTACCCCTTAAACCACTTCCCTCTCAACCCCTTATGACTTACCCATTTCCCGACGCTAACCTCCATCTCTCTTCTCCTCCCTCCGCTCTTCCCCTCCTACTTCCTTCACCCCCTTCTCCTCCTCCTGCCTCTACCTTCCTTCCCCCATTTTCTCCTCCCCCTTCCCTCTACGTTCCCCCTCCCCCTCTCTACGTCCCCCTCCCCCCTCTCTCCCTTCCTCCACCTTCCCCCTTTCTCCTCCCTTCCCCCTTCCCCTTTTCTCCTCTCCTTCCCTCTACGTTCCTCCTCCCCCTCTACTACCCTCCCCTTCCCATCCCTACTCCAACCCCTCTTCCCCCTTCCTCCCTCTCCTCCTCCTTACCCCTTCCTATCCTCCTCCAACTATTCCTCCTCTACCCCCTCCTCCCCTGTTCCTGAGGTTTAATCTGTCCTCTAGCGATTTCTTCTCACACACACACACACACACACACACACACACACCACAACACACACACACACCACGCACACACACACACACACACACACACACACACACACACACACACACACACACACACACACAAAAAAAAACAACACGATAGGGTGAGTGATTGAGCAAGTGATATCAAATGCCGCGGTCTCTGTGCCCGTAAAGTCGACAAAAGATGCCACTAATGAATCCTCACACCGAGTTCTCCATTCGACCTCATTCTCTCTCTCTCTCTCTCTCTCTCTCTCTCTCTCTCTCTCTCTCTCTCTCTCTCTCTCTCTCTCTCTCTCTCTCTCTCTCTCTCTCTTCTATTTTTTTTTCTTTTCCTTCTCCTCTCTCTCTCTCTCTCTCTCTCTCTCTTGTCTCTCATCTCTCTCTATTTTTCTCTCTCTCTCTATTTTCTTTTCGTTTTTCTCTCTCTCCTCCGATGATGCTAGAGACTCTCTCTCTATTTTTTTTTTCTTTTCATCTTTTCTCTCTCTCTCTCGTCTCTCTCTCTCTCTCATCTCTTCTCTCTCTCTCTCTCTCTTCTCTTCTCTCCTCTCTCTCTCCTCTCTCTCCTCTCTCTTCTCCTCTCTCTCCTACCTCTCTCCTCTTTTCTCTCCCTCTCTCTCTCTCTCTCTCTCTCTCTCTCTCTCATCCTCTCTCTTCTTTCTCTCTCTCTCTCTCTCTCTCTCTCTCTCTCTCTCTCTCTCTCGACTCCACATTCAACATTCCAAGATTAATTGCTCGTCCCTCACCCATCAACGCCATGACGGCTCGCCCAGCACGCTAACATACACCCTTCTTCTTTCTTCTCACTTCTCTTTCTCTTCTTCTTCTTCTTTTTTCGTTTTCCCTTTCGTCTTACTTTTTTTCTTGTTTTTTTTATCTTCTATCTACTTTTTTCTCTTCTTCTCTTTTTCTTTTTCTCTTTCTACCTTCTTCTTCTTCTTCCTCCTCTCTTTTTTTTTCGTATTATTTTCTTCCTCCACCTTTTTTCCTCCTGTTCTTTTTCTTATATTATTACTCCACCTTCGCCTCTTTTATTCCTCCTCTTTCTTTTTCGTCCTCATACTCTTCTTCCATCTCCCTTTCTTCTCCTTTCTCCACCTCCTTCCTCCTCTCTTGTTCCTCATCTGTTGCTAACTTATCCTCTTTTTCTGACGCTTCTTCTTCTCTTCAAGTTCATTTGGAAATCATTCTTTCTTCTCTTCTCTCCTAATTATTCAATTATCTCGTTTACCCATATCTTTCTTGCTTGAAGTAATCTTTTTATCTATTTTCTCATTTCTGCATATTATCTCGCTTTATTACTATTGTTTCTTCTCCCGCTCCTTCTTATTCTCAAATCACTTTCATTCCATCTTCTTCTCCTATCCTTACTCCTTCTCTTCTTCCCTTCTTCTACCTCTTTATTCTCCATCTCCTTATCTCTTTATCTCCACTTCCCGGCCTTCTCCTGAAAATCACATCTTCCCTCATTTTTCCCCTTCTTCCCTTCCCCTTCTTTCCTGTGTTATCAATCTCTCTCTCTCATTAACGCGATTCGTCTTTTCCATCATCCCTCGCTCAATTCTCCTTAACCCTCTCTTTATTACCCTCTTTTGTCAGTTTAAAATATCATCTAAGTAAGATAAAAGTCTTCAATGCTCGTTACTTCTCTCTCTCTATGTATATAAAAAAACATTGTAATTATCCTTCGTTAAATTTCTTCTGACAATTTTTCTAACCTATCGATAAAAACAAACAAACAAACAAAAAAACTAAATATCCTATCAATAAGGGGATTTTTGTTGTTGTTTCTTAAATGTTTTTATTCCGACTGCATTTTCCGTAAAAATAAAAACCGATCTAGTTGACCTTCTCTATAGAAGCAAGAATATCTTTATCATGTTAATCATTTCCTCTATGTATCATTATATTTTTTTCTCTCTCTTATTCAGCTAGATATTTAATCTAAGTTCATCCTTGAAACATTTTTTTTTTTCATAATAATAATACAAGCATTAAGATGTACGTCTAATCTACAATCATATTTCCTCTGTGAAAAATACGGTGGTGATGATTATAATATGGTTATGGTGAATGAGATGGTGGTGGAGGGTGATGATGATGATGTGGTGGAGGTGAATGGTGGTGGTGGTGGTGGTGATGCTGTTGATGATGATGAGGTGATGTTATATGATGATGGTGGTAGTGGTGGTGGTTATGGTGGTGATGGTAGGTGGATGATGATGATGGTGAATGGGGATGATGATGATGATTGATGAATGATGGATGTGATGATGATGATGATGATAGGTGATGATGATGATGAGGTGATCGTGAGATGATGAATGATGATGGGGTGGTGGTGGTGGTGGTGGTGGTGGTGAATGATGATGATGATGATGATGATGATGATGATGATGATGGTGGTGATGATAATGATAAAATGATGGTGACGATGATGATGGTGGTGATGATGATGATGTATAGTAAGTCAAAACGAATGAACAATAACAATAAAAAAAAACAAAAAAAAATAATGATAATAACAATAACAGTAATAATACTAGCAATAACGTTAACTAAAATAATGATAATAACAATAACAATAAGACTAATAACGATAACAACGGCGATGATGATAACAATAATAATAAAAAAATAATAATAACAATTATTATTAATTATTATTTATTATTATTACTATTATGATTATTATTATTATTATTTATTATTATCATTATTATCATTACTTATCATTACATTATTATTATTACTATATTATTATCATATTATTATTACTATTATCATATTATTATCATTTATTATCATTATTATTATTATATCATTATTATCATTATATTATTACTATTTCATTAATCATTATTATATTACATATTATTATATTATTATTATCATCTATTATTACTATACATTATATTATTTATATTATCATTATATTATTACTATTATTATTATCATCACTTTTACTACTATTCATTATTATTATTTACTATTATTAGATTATATCATTATTATTATTACAAATTTATTATCATTATTATCATAATCATTATTAGAATTACGATAATGAGAACATCATTCGTCCTGCCACTCTATTATTCATAACACTGCTATCAACAAAACCGGCATAATTAATGATCTAATCAACTGAAGCACACAGCATGAAAAAAAAAAAAAAAAAAAACAAACAACATAATCATATATCTATACAAGATTAAAAGATAACAAGAGAAGCAAGCAGAAACCAACCTTACGGAAACCAGATCTTTCAGTCATCCCGACAACCAAGCATCCCGACTCAGCCAATCAACCAAAAGTCTTCATCTGGGTCTCTTAAATCTCTAAGAATCTCCTTCAAGTAACCAGTAATTGGCAGGATTCCAACCGCAAACAATGATTCATTATCCATTCAGCATCATTCTCTGTGATTCGCGATCAAACAACAATAACGAGGTCAGTCTCGTTTAAAAAATAATGATATTTCGTCGGGTTGATGGCTTAATGTGGATCTGCATGAGGGGAAAAAAATGAGGGTGTGTGGAATGGACGAATCGTACGCACATGTATGTAGATATACATACACAAAGACACGTCTTCCTTCCTTTCCTTCTCTTTTTTTTCTTCTTCTTTCTGTCTTTCTTTCTCTCTCTTTGTCCTTCTCCTTCTCTCTCTCTTCTCTCCTTTCCCTCCTCTCTCTCTCCCTTCTCTCTCTCTCTTCTCTCCTTCTCCCCCTCTCCTCTCTCTTCTGTGTCACACACACACACACACACACACACACACACACACACACACACACACACACACACACACACACACACACACACACACACACACACACATCACC